AGTCTCACACTATTTCCCTTCAGGAGATGACTCGATACGCATTATCATGAGTACAATTCAAGAACAAATTTTGTCAAGGATGGAAACACACCTCCAAGGGCTTCTTTATTTCAACAGTTACAAACATTACTTAAGACATCATTTTAATAAAAAGTTCTAAATCTAATCCAACGCAGCAGCTCCTGAGATGATCTCAATCAACTCCCTTGTAATCACAGCTTGGCGAGTTCGATTGTATGTCAAAGTCAACTTGTCAATCATTTCACCTTTAAGAGAGATGGAAACAGTTAGTAAACTTTGACGAGGGTGAGATTTTTTTGTACATCTTTTGGGGCTGAAATACTCATTCTCTGACCAAATCACATGAAAAACAGTTATGAATGTTGGAAGATAAAACTGATCACTGAATGAGCTCTGTAGAGCAAATGCTTCAAGAGATATGGGGAATTTTTACAAAAAACCGTCACTTGGTTGCAATTTTACCATCCAGTATCTTGGATGGCTAGGATTACAAATCATTTAGAAGAACCCACATTTGATCGATAACACGTTATCCAGCAGTTTAGAGCAATTTGCAATTGAGTGTTGAAAATTTACTCACCCGCATTTTTACTAGCACTGTCCATTGCAGTCATGCGAGAGCTCTGCTCGCTACAGGCTCCCTCCTTCATGCCATAAAACAAAAGACTAGCCAAGGAGAACTCAGAGTAGTTCTTTATCGCATCAGAATCCAAGTCATCATAGGTACTCAGAGTGTCTGAGAATCCAAAATCCACAAGAAAAGTTAAATTTTAACCCTTTACACCCTAACATCAGTAGCCATATTCTCCTTACTGTTCTCCATACATTTTTTACGGTGCTAGTAAGGAGAAATTGTTAAACAATCAAGAGGTTCTTTGGCTAGTGATCATTTCCTTTGTTTTCCTGACCTCAAGTGATTCGGGGTAAAAATGTTAGGAGAAATTGGACACTAGTCACTCCTTCGGGTCAAAGAGTTACTTGCCCCAGAGATACAAGTAAAGCTACCAAAATGTAAAACTGAGAAGAATGACAGTTGTTTGAGAAAATTCTTCACATGATAAACAAATAACTACCACAATTTTCCTCACAGCTACAGTGCACATTTCTATTGAATAAACTGCACCAAAAGAAGCTTAGGAAAATTTCGGGCTTGGACAAGGGTCACACCTGTGCCTGCCATAATTATATTGGTTGGGTGCTAATGCTGATTGAATGACAAAGCCAGTTGTTGGAAGTAGGGAAAATTTCAGTCGACAGATTATAGAGCAAAGCATGTTCTTCACTTTTAGCCCATGCTATCTCAAAAAATAAAGAGATAAAAGAAATTATGGCCACAGTCGCATAATCTACTTGCTTTGGTCTCTTGAATTCACCCTTTCATTCCCAAGATCTCATCACAAATTCTGCACACTGTCTGCCATACAGTTCTAACAATGTTAGTTAAGAGAATTTGGTATTGGATCAGCAGTGCCCTTGTTGATATTTTTCTTTATTCTGATCACTTATCTGCTTGATACTGTATGAATATTGTAAGGAGAAATTCTGTCTTGGTCACCCACAGGAGGTATAGTGTTAAGGTAAGTCACACTT